AAAATAAGTAAAGAAATGGGCCAACGTAACGAGAACATAAAAAGTTTTCTTTTGATGCTGCCTAGGTAAAATAGAAGACTAATTTTAATAAATTTGAATTTATGATTATACACATATGGTAATTTTTTTTCATCTCTTACAATTTTTCTTAATAAAGAATGCCCAAAATTACACAGAAGAAAAACATATATGGACATATTATTGTATATAATTATGTACAAAAGTTCACGCAGAAGTTGCGACTTTTTTTACATGAGTTTATAAATACGCATAGTTTATAAATAAAGATTCAGCGCAAAAATTACATAAACTAAATTAGAGTTTATTAACAGCGATTAGTAACGGTGTGAAAAATGTGAAGGTTAGTGTTGCAAATCAATAGATATAATACGAGTGGCGTCATTTTCGTGTACATTCGACGACTTTTTTATACATATATCAAATATTCTATTTCATGGTCGGCTAGCCAAAATAGTATATTAGCTAACAAGTGCGAGGGATCGTAAATCTCGGCATCGCCTCGTGCGCCAAACTTCCACACTCTTGGCTGATTTACGACCCTCACATGTTAGCTACAATATTTTGTGTGACCGGTGCGTGGAAAGGGAGCCCTTTCTAAAATCCCATTATGTGCGTAAAGGGCGACTTTTCGCGCGCCGATTGCACAAATAAATATAAAATTTGGAAATTTCCAATGTCAGACCGAATTCTTAAAAGTATTATTAAAAATATCGGTTATGCAGGGTATCATAAGAATAAATTACTGAAACGAATCATTTTTTAATGCATGCAGTTATTGAAAATAATCGTTTTTTAATGCATGCAGTTATTGAGAATAATCATTTTTTAATGCATGCAGTTCTTGAGAAAACAAAACTTGTGTTGGACAGAGAAAAGTCTGCAGTTTTTAATGGATATAAATAAAATATTTGTATAATAGCTTATTTTATTGATAAAAAGTAATGAAAAGTGAATAATCACATAAAATCATATAAATTAATGATAAATATTTTCAACAGTGCTAGATTTAATAGTAGCTATTAAAAGGATCATCAATAACATTAAAAATGACATGTTAGAGAAAGTTTTTACGAGTTTTCGTAGAAGAACAGAATTTTGTATCAATTTAAATGGTGCGCACTCTGAAAATATTTATCATTAGTTTACATATGTGATTATTAGCACTTTGTTCATTACTTTTTTTCAATGAAATAAACTGATATGCAAACATTTTATTTATATCCATTAAAAATTGCAGACTTTCCTCTTTTTAACACAATTTTTGTTTTCTCAATTACTGCATGCATTAAAATATGACAGCTGATCAGTTTCAGCAATTTTCTATGAGACACCCTGTATATACACAGAAAAAACAGTATCCTTAAGAAAATGCAAATATGCTTTGATTCAAGTATATTTTATCCTTATAATAGCGCCAAATATAAATAATTTTGGATTAAGGATAATTTATCCTTAAAACAAATTGCAAAATATTCTTGGTTAAAGCTGAAATTTACTTATAAATATTACAAGGGCAAGTGACAAGTGAGCATCGGATATAAGCGGTACTTTCAAATATATAATTCTTAATTCAAATGTGACTAAGTTTGTTTTTACTATATAATGATTTTTAAAACAAGAATATATTTTAAGAATAAAATATACTTCACACAAACTTATTTATTATTAAGACAAATAAAAATTTGTAATTACAAAGAGCATTCTGTGCTTAAATCAATCAAGGATTCCTTTTTTCTGTGTACCAATAATAAATTTTAATTTAGTTTATGTAATTGTTGAGCTGAAGATATTCCAACAGACGAACCGAAACGTATGTTGATTCTGTATATTATATTAAAATTCATGATTATTAATTATTATTAGATTATTAAATATTATTCAATTTTATATTTTATTTCAACTAATAATGATTATCTGCGCTCCATCGCCCGCACACCAGCTTTTTAATGTCAACAATGTGTTTAATTTGAAAATTTTTAAGAATTCATACGTGATATATTTTTGTTAATTTTTGTTAATAAATTGTTATAATAATATTTTTGTGAATAAATAAATAACATATATTAGGATGGTTCAATAAATATAAAATGTGTCGCAACATCTGTGTCATCTATATTATATACGATTCTACACATTAATTTATGTAGGAATTTCACGGTAAAGATTGCTTTAAATTTATTTATTTTGCAAAAAATATTTGATGTAAACAATGTTGTTAGTATCATCAAAAAATGAAGATTTTCATAAACATTTTGCGTTTCCGTTACTTTGTGCGTCGGATTAATGGAGAATTAAAATCGTGTAGGTTGAGGTGGGGATAATTTCAAAAGACATTATAAGGTAGGTATATATGAGGTTTGTGTTTCAGTTGCGGAAGTTACGGTGGCGGCGACGCACATAAGCCGAGGTAAAACGGCGGTTTTAAACTCCGGCGAGACTCCGGCGCGCAACCAGGTAAGGAGAATGGAAGTGCATGCGCATTGCATGAATTCAGCCGAAGAAAGTTCTTCCGTGTTTGTCCGGCGCGAAGCGGGCCTCTGGGGTTGCATAATACTTTCGTTGCAGATGAAAGAAAGTGTCTCCTTCCCTCTGTCCTTCGTTCTTTTCGCATTCTCCCCCTCTTTTCTCTTCTCTCCCGCTGCAGCAGCGGGAATGCAACAAGTACGTCCAGCAAGTTTTCTCATACTTTCTTACTCCTGCATGTAACAGTTAAAAGGTATATAGTTAGTTACACGAGCGACTTTGGAATAATAATTAGTAATCGAAATCTTTCTCGGTAATTTCTTCTAATTTTGGTGCTGCGAATGGTGTTTTACGGATGTGCGTATATACGTGTAGATTTTTAAATAAATAAATAAAGTGTGTCAGATCGGGGGGATAAAATCGTTTTCTCATGACGGAGACATCCGCGCGCGAGCGGATGTTATCGGTAAATAACTCCGCGAGCGTATAAAACGAAGACTCGAGTTACAATTGAGTTTAGAGACAACAGCTGGCTCCAACAGATTCAATTACAGCTTCCGCTTAAATACACCGACGACGACGACGACGACGGGTATCTAACTTAAAGTGTTAAGCGGATTGCACTCGTCAGATTCTTCGAGAAACAACTTCGCCACGCGTTTCCGTCCAGGATCTATCTAGAATATTTTTACCCGGACATATACGTACTCTCCAAATGCCATCCACCTGTTGAAGAGTCTTCTCCAACAGTTTTGCTAATTTATGTTAGTAGTTGTTACTCTTTTTAAGTTATTGAAACAATACTATATTATTGTAGCAATTGAAGCTATATTAGGTTTGTTTTTCTATTCCAGTTAGAATGAGACAAATATATTTTGTCCCACTCTAACTTATTGCGCCATTGTGCACCAGTTCAGCCAGTGCAGGAATAGAAAACAAACCTATTATTACTCCTTTTTGAAGTTATTGAAGCTATATTAGGTTTGTTTTCTATTCCAGTTAAAATGAGACAAATATATTTTGTCCCACTCTAACTTATTGCACCAGTATGTACCAGTGTGCACCAATTCAGCCAGTGCAGGAATAGAAAACAAACCTATTGTTACTTCTTTATTGAAGTTATTGAAGTTATATAGTTTCTCTTTCCCTCTTAAGTTCGCTGATATCTATAAAACTATTAAATTTGTGCATGAAGCAATAATTTTCTCAAATACAATAGCTTTTTATAATGTAATATAAGATTACAATTATGCAATATTTGTTATACACCGTTTAAAAAGAGAACGTGCATTGAATCAAATAAAAATGCAATGCTTATTTAACTTCTCAGTCCCTTTGCAATGAATGGAATCAACGAATAACATCATTAGACATCAAAATGACCTCATTAAACATCAAAATGACGTTGGGTTGGATCACCGGTATCTTTCTCTATTTTGCTTATCTATGCACAGACTGATACATGTTCTCTCGTTGAACGGAGTATACAAACAAATTGAAGAAACAACTTTGCGATGAGTCGCCACCCAAGTAGAACAGAAAAGTCAAAACGATGTCAATTTGACATCATTTGATCAAAAGACCTCGTATCAAATATATGTATAGGATTTTGGCTTTCAATGAAATTGGCTGTTTTTTTCATTTGTTGTAACTTATGACTTGCTGAACAAAAGATGTGATAGTCTCAAAGCTAAATATTGGATAGTTACTGAATTACAGTTAATCAAACAACTCGTAGAGTCCAAGTTTTTCGTATTTGATTATCTGTTTTTTGTTCAGCAAATTATAAATTACAATTTATGAGATAATCAGCTAATCTTACCAACATTCAATTTTGTACGGGATTTGTGAACCTATATGAAATTAAATTCAAGTAAGATTAATTGATTTTCTCACGTTGTAATTTATAACTTGCTGAGCAAAAAAATGTAATAAGCTCAAAGCTAAATAATAGATGGGTACAACCAGTCAAACACGAAAAATGAGAACATTGTGAGTTATTTGACTTGTAACTCAGTGATTATTAAATGTTTAGCTTTGAGACTATTACATCTTTTGTTCAACAAGTCATAAATTACAATCTTACATATGAAAAAAAAAAAAAACAACCAATTTCACTAAAATCCAAAATTCTATATATTCTCAAGTAGCAAACTAGTATCATTAAACATCAAAATGACGTCATTAAAATAAATTCTACTTTAAAGTAAACTCTATTTGAAATTAATTGAAAAATGTGGTTTTGTTAATATTTTATTTCCACAAGACTTTCCAAATAGCCGACGTCATTAGACGTCAAAATGACCTAAATGACGCATGCTTGCTATCTGGTGCGAGGTCCTTTGAAATTCAAACATCAAATTGACATCATTTAAACATTTCTGTTCTACTTGGACAGTCAGTCTGATATACGGGAGCAACGAAATCTATGCGAGCCGCGGCAAAACACTCCGGAACGCGACTCGATCGATTTTTTGGCCTCGGTCGGGGCCATCTGCACCTCTCTCAGCCCCTACGCATGCGTTACGATTCTGTCTCTCCTATCTTCCCTACGTAGACGCGTGTACACACACGTTTCTCTTGCCAGCTGTCGCTGACGGAGTGGCGTGCAATAGCGCAAACGCACAAGACGTAATACCGCGCGATACCCTACGTCGGCGCGATTAGCAACATCGGCGAAGCCAGGCCAGTGCTTCTCGTCCCTTTTGTTAGAACAGTTCTCTCTCTTCGCGCGCTCTCGGAGGCTCCAGGTGATCGAGATCATCCCCCTCGAGATCGGAATCTCGAAGGATTCGAGCGAATTTTCTTTCTTTTCCACGGTGAATTTCTATTTCTACAGCCCACCTAGGGTGGCGCGCGACAATCGCGCGCGACTTCCCTTCTTTCCTTATACTTTTCGCCCGGCCGGCCGGTCTTCGTGGACAGTTCATTATGAGAGGGAGAGAATGCGGACGCGCTTTTACCGGCCTTGGGAATATTAGACTCGTCTAAAAGAAGTGGGCTATGCATGTGGACGCGTTCGTACGCGTGCGGAAGTCGCGACACTCTTTATATACGTGCCGAAAAAATACATGCCAAAGAAGTTTCTCAACGGAAAGACGGAATCGGGGGAGAGAAAGAGAGACGGAGAAGAGTGGTGAGAGAATAGTGAGGAATAACGGACTGAGGGCATGTCAACGCGCACACAGTGAGTCGATACACGCATGTTACACATTTTAATATGATTTCAATGCCGTTTTAATATGATTTTAATGTCGTTTTAACAGCGATATCTTATAAAATTGGACGTATTAATTGTAAGATATCGCTGTTAAATAATATATGTCCAATTCCATTTAAAAAGCAAAATAATTGAAATCTTTTCATTGTAAAGTGGGAAATGCTTTTTAGACTCCCATTTAAAATAGGAAATTAAAAATAAATATTTTTAAAATAAAAATCAATTTTTTAATTATTATTATAATTTTAAATAATTTTTTATTTGCATTTTTATATTCAAATTCTTAGTTTATATATATATATATATATATATATATATATATATATATATATATATATATATATATATATATATATATATATATATATATATATATATATATATATATTGTTCATATTTTTTTCTTATTATTACTTATATTTGAATTCTTATTTTTCTTTTAATACAAGTTTGAATTACTAAAGTTGAATTGCATAAACATTTAGATGTGGAATTATAAAAAATATTTTTTTACATCGTTTATGGATATTTAATTATTTTTTTTTAATTAACATTTTGATTGCAATTCTCTTCTCTGATGCTCTTCAGAAGTGAAATATTTTTTAAAATTATTAAGCGATGTCTGGAACAAAGTTTCATAATTAAAATGAAATGTTTCATAATTTTTGAACGTTTTTCTTCTAAAGAGTATTATAATCAAATATTTTAAATAATTTTTTAAATGGTGTTATTTAATTAATTTTATTTTATTGTAATTTTATTTAATTAAAAGTGATGCCAGAATTATGAGGACGTGGTACTAATGAAATTATTGCGTTAATTATACGTACATGTTATCTCGCTTAATTTATAGTTTGCGAGAAAATTACATTTAAATTAGAAAATAAGTAATAAAAATCATTTAAATAAAAATGTAAAATTATTTTTGAAAAATTTTATATTTTAAATGTAAAGTACAAAATAGACATTTTACATTTTGTATTTCCACTTTAAATGTATCTATTTCAAATAATGCTTATCTCTGCTTCTTCGTGTACGCGTTATCAGTTTCTTATGCAATTTATTTACTCTCAAAACATTCTCCTACGTTATCTGTCACTGAAACATTCACATATCTTTGAAATCACATCTTTAAATCTTACATATTTATGTAATCTATAATAACCTAATCACATTAACGACTTAATAACTTAACACACAATAAATTATCTCCTACCATTAATTAATTTTTATCGTATATGTAACATCTATCTTAATTAGTGTGTCATCTAATTGCAATGTTATTGCACATTTAATATTATTTTTTTATTTTAAAGGATAATATAACTTATCAATGAGAAAAAATTTTATGATGACTTTTTTACGTGTCTTTATTCTATGCAAGAATTCTCTGTTGCATTATTCCTGCATATAACAACGATAAGATAAGATTTGTACCAAAAGATTGACGGTAATTATTCCGAGTTATGACGCTGAAATATTCAGATCAAAATCATCTTGTTATTAATATTTTTTTATTAATGCACAAATTCAATTATGCAAAAGAAAGAAGCCAAAGAAAACTCGCTTTGCCAAGTTGCTTCACGCGGAAAAATAAGGACAAATATATACAGGGTGTCCGAAACCTACCATAAAATCTGTTAATGGCAGATTCCTGGAGACGATTTTTCCTCAGCAAAAATATCGAAGAAGACCATCATTTATTGCATGTTTCCAATTTTTATCATCATGCATCTTTGTAATTAAGTCTTAAATTAAAATTCTATTAAAGTAACCTGTATCTAAAATTAACCTTTATTTGTTTAATTTTTTTATTTCCTTAATTTACTCAAGTTTCTTGATTTTAATTACTTATAACTCGAAAATCATTGATATCCTAGGTTTTCTGGTAGATCTGGGACACCCTGTATATTATATATATATATATATATATATAATTTTTTTTTAAAGTATGGAGCTTTTTATTTATCTTTCGCTTGACGGGCAAAAAAAGTAAATTAATGAATTCTAATATATACATATATTCAAAGCCTATACTGATGTTTACGCACATACTTGTATGCGAAAAGTATAACTTCTGGTATGGCTGGCTGATCGATATTTGGAGTGTTATAATAGGTCGATCGATCGCTTTCCAAGTTATATACCACGTGCCATAACGGCGACAATGTTGCGTTAACTCTTCCGCTATGAAGGGCATATATTTACGTTCTTGATGAGCAATCATTGCGAAAATCATTTGTAAAAAACGTATATATTAGCCTTGCAAAGTTGACAATACAGTGATTTGAATTTTTTTCCAATTAAAATTTTTAATCCGAAATTGCAAAAAAATTATCTCCCCTGGACCTTTAATTGTTTTTTCTAACAAATAATATTAAAAGAACTTTATATTAATGCATATCATTTATATTTTTTATATATTTTGAGTAATTAAATGTCAATACACAAGATGTTTAGTCTGTCACATTTTTGAAATTCAAGTATATTAGACACATTTATTTACTTATTTTATTTTATATTATAATTAATATAATTATATATTTTATATTATTTTATATTATTTTATATCATAGAGGAGCGCATTTGTATATAAAAATATATTATATTATATATTAAAATTAAATTTATTCTTACCCACACATTTATAAATAATACTACAGTCTAAAAAATATATAATTTTTATTAATAATAATGCTTGGCAACATTTAAACAAAGTATCACACTTTTTCTGCTAATTTAATTTTTTTTAATTCTTGATTTTTTCTTTGCGTAAAATCAAATATATTTTAATCTTTCGTAATTTCTTAATATTCTGCTTAATTCTCGATGAACACATCTGACTGTTGAAAAAAAGATAAAATATTTTAAAAGTATTTAATATGTCTTAAAATAAGTTAAAAGGTTTTAATAAATATGAGTCCGTAAATAAGCCATTTTTTGAAATATTTGCAATATCTTATAAACTTAATTTAATTATAATTTGATTTAATTTATCTAAATTCACCTAATAAAACATTAAAAATAAAAATAATAATAATACAAATTTAAAACAAAAATAAAAATAAAGAAATATATATATATATACAAAATTAAAATAACTATTTTATAATAGGCCAACTTATTATAAGTATATAACAACGTGATATAAGTATATGATTATTTTAAAACATATATTAAAATTACTAAAACACTGATAGTTCAAATTTATCGTTAGCAAGCGCATAAACTAACAATCAAATATCCTTGAGATATCCTTCAGAATATGAAGGATATCTGAAGAATATCTCATTGTCGGTTTTATGCGCTTACTAACGATAAATGTAAAATAGATAAAACCGCATTAGTGTTAATTATATTATTATAATTTAGATATATAATCTTTCCTTCAAATTAACTGTAAGTTTAACTTTGAATGCTTCTAGCAAAATTCCTTGTATTGAAAAAGACTGTTGTATAGTCGAAATGTATACGTTGATTTAATGTCCAACATTTTATAATTTATTGTATTTAATAAAAAATTATTTAACATCATAAATAATCTAGCTCATTAAGTTGGTCTATTATGGAATATTTTAATTTTACACGAGCCTAATTTTTAATTAAATATTTAAAAAATTAAAAATAAAATTATTTAAAAAACAGTTTTATTACAATCTTTCTAAATAATTGAAGAATGAAAAATTTATTAATTAATTATTGAATTTTTCAATTTTTATAATTAATTTTTGCTCGAGTTTGCTTTTTATTCACGTTTTTATTTATTTTGTCTTTTAAGAAATGTAGCAATAAATTAATTAAAGCATCTCGAACTTTTCAAAGATCTTAGAACATGCAATTTTCGATAATGTAATCTCTTCTTTCTTTTCTTACTTCTTGCGTTTTAATGTTGATAAACTAGGGAGGGGTGATAGGCGTTTTATTTTATTTTTTATTTATATAATTTTATTCTTTTTTTTTAATTTATTCATTTTATTCATTTTTTCTTATCTTTCTAGATTATTTGAACTATTTAATTTACTAGAATAATTTGAAAACATTATTTTTGTGTCTCTCTCATAATGTTATAAAAATAAATTTTAAGCAACACAATTCATATAGTATACAAATATATATATATAACTCATACAATTATAATCCATAATTGCAGTAGAGAAAACTATTCGATAACAAAGATACAATTGGAGTTAACTTTTGAAGTATAAAACTCCTTTTTTCTGTCACTTTCTTGCAAGATTTGTTGATATCAAACTTGACGAAAGTAGACAAGAGAAAGGAGAAAATTTTTTGAATATTAAATATCCTAAAATCCTTGGGAAATCTATTTATATTTGTCTATTATTACTGTAAAAAAATATTTGTCATATCATTAAAAAATTGTTATACATGTATATTGTAGAAAAGAGATTTGTCATGTCTCATGTCATAGTTCCACAAACAAATAGAACTAATATTTAAATGACTAGACTTCTTCCTGTAAAAGAAAGTTTTTTTGTGACTGTGTTTTTGAATGAAGATTATTGGCATAAAAAAAGAAATAATTCATTTTAATATGCGAAAAATAAAAAAAATACATGATCATCTAATTTTTATGGAATAATTTAATATGACAGAAAGAGAATGAGATTCAAAATGAATTTTAATGACAATAATTATTATTATAGTTGGTTATTATATAGTTATAATACTATATAATAGTTTATTATAGTTATTAATAACTATAATATAATTATTATATAGTTATAATTTATTATAAGTTATTATAGTTATTATATAGTTATAATACTATATAATAGTTTATTATAGTTATTAATAAACTATATAATAACTATAACAACTATACAATAGTTTGGTATAGTTATTATAGTTATTATATAGTTATTATAGTTTATATAGTTTTAATGGCAATAATTATTATTATAGTTTATATAGTTTAGTTCGTCAAATTAATTTTTTGCATTATTTTA